ATTACTTTCACGTCTTTATATCGTGCGTTCTATAAAGGTCACTGTAAATTGTCTGGCTTCCTCATTACGCTTCTCAAGAACCTTTCACAACGTCTATTTCTGTATCCAATAGCTACTTCACAAACTCAACCTGATTATTCTTTCAGTTTTGAGGACTTCCAAAACCTCATTGCTAGACCATATATAAATTCAAATTTCCTTACACAATCCAATGATAGCCTCAATGAATTCTATCAAGCCCAACATTCAATGATGTCAAAGCTATCGGACGAACGGTGGTGGGTCAACTATTCCCTTGCACTGAAGACCCTCCTTTTCTGAACTCCTTGCCATTGAATCTAATCCGCGAGAAAAGTATTCGCAATTGGCCAAAAATTGATCATAGTTTTCGTAGATGGCATGCACGTATGGTAAATCATGGTCCCACCAAAGCAATTTTTGATCGTGCTAAGATTTTGAACCTATTAGAAATTACCTTTTTTCCCCCAACTTATGACCCGTGCCTTTTCCAATTGCGCTGAGTTTCTGGTCTTCCAAGTATAACACTTTTGTTTTCCCTCTGGCCCAATGTCTATTATTCTAAGGGATATTGGGGACTTACTGAACCTTCCGCTCTCTGGTGATACCATTTTTTCTAGCATTTTGATTTCCAATGTTGCTCCAAAGTTTGACAAGAAAGTTGTTGAATCGTACTCGAACATACAAGGCCGTTATACTGCTTCCCATTCAGAATCCACTAATGCTGAGCCTGTAGCCTTCCTTCAAGTCTGGATGTGTAAATACCTTCTTTGTGTCCCTAACCTGAAACCATCTGTGAGTTATCTGCCACTATCGCATGAATTAGCACGTGGTAGGTCTTTGAATTTGTGTTCATTCTTTTTAGCCACATTTTATGAGGTATGGCTTCCCTTCGATTTCAGTTAAGGGGTGGTGCATCTCCGACTGGTAGTAGGCCTCTTTGCCTTGCTCAATTGTGGTTAAGAGCTTCTTTCCCATAGCTTGGTGCTCCTCCAACTCTTCCCTAAACAGTCAGCTGCTATGGGCTATTCATTTATCAGTTGAGCCCCGTAAATATGTCCAGCAAAGACCTTTTTACATTTGTTTATACTTTGAATTCAACGTCTTCTTTCTTCACCAAATTGGTTTTCTTGCGCAACCATTCCAACTATTGATTCTTGTTCAGTCGATATATACACTTTCATTTACCATAATTGGATTGGTGGCACCAACATTGGTGGATTTGATAAATATGTTTTTAGGCATTCAAAAGCCTTTTGATGCTCTTCTTTGCAGAAGAATTCGTCTTGATTTTTCAGTTTTAAAAGCGGTGAAAAAGCTTTACTTCGCCCTCTTGATGAAGCATCTGGCTGACGAATGTTGGGCGATCTTCCCCTTCATTGCCAATATTCAGTATAATCAGAAAGTCTTGTATTTGAGCATATCCAATCTTGGTGATCTTCATTACTTCATCGTCCATGTCCCTTATAGGCACTTCTTCTTCTTTTTCTAAACAATCCACCTTGTTAACTTCTCGGCTAATACTTTGTTCCAATTCGAATACTGAAAAAATAAAATAAAATCGAAGTGGACAGGCTTTTCTGAATAGACCTACACCAAAAAAAAGCCACTTAGATTCCATGATTCTCTTGTGGACAAGTTAAAAAGACAATTGTGCTGAACTTGCATTACATGGACTAAAAAACTATTGTATGCATTTTGTAATTCTTTAAAAAAAAAAAAAAAGGATGAAAGCTTTTGAATAAGCACCAGAATCATTTATCTTTATCAAAGAGTCAAAGAATCTTGTATAATTTTGCACAAAACAAGACTAGGTCCCTAGTTTTGAGACGAAACGAGATTTGGAGTTCAGGTTTCGTCGAACCAAATTAGATGATGGTGTGGTGGGAAGTGGGGGTGGCTGGTGATCGGTGGATGGGTGGTGGCTATAAGGTGTGTGGGTTAGAAGTATCCAAAAGTCTCGAACCGAACCCGAACCGAGCCGAACCGAGTGTTTCTTCATAAATTAAATACCCGAACGGGTGCCCGAATAGAGAACCGATGGGTTTGGATTGAGTCTCGAGTCTAGACCAAGAATCGAAGAACCGAATAAGAACCGAAACTAAATAATTTTTTTATTTTTTATATTGAATTAATTAAATTATTTTATTTTTTTTATACAAATTAGCAAATTAATTAAATA